CGAACGGAGGCTGCGCCACAAGAGGGGTGCGATGCCGTCCCAGTACTCCAGCTCACGCCGCACCGCCGGCCACAGTCCGGTCTCCTTGTCGTAGCACTTGCGGACAAAGGCGTAGCAGCTCCAGAACAAGGACATGCCCTCGCGCTTGATGAGAGATATAAATACCAGATGCCCGAGGAGCTTCTCGAGGTCGCGTCCCCGAAGACGGCCACGGCCGAGGACACCGCGAACGGCCAGGCGCGCACGCCACAGCCGGGCCCGCGTGGGCCGCACGATGCACCGTCCTCGGTCAATGCACCACCCCAGCGCCTCCGACTCACCAGGCAGCTCACCAGCATGGTCCTCGGCCTTCACCACGAGCCCGCGGGCACGCAGCGCGTCAGACACGCGCCGCACGAGCGCCGCCACCCACTCGGAGTCGGTGCCGATCGCAATGAAGTTGTCGACGTACTCCAGGTGGGCGCCCGGCGTCATCGGCGGCGGCGGCCGGCGGTCAGCGATCCGCAGCTCGGGACAGGCGCCGGCCTCGACGCTGGTGCGCTCGTGCACGCGCTGGCACCACCACAGCGCCCAGCTCCACCCCATCGGCAGCACGGCCAGCCGCGGCGTGACAAGAGCGCCCCGGCCGAGTGGCTTCCCGCCGAGGAGCTTGAGGCCCACCGCCGAGGCGCGCACGGGCCGGAAGGAGAAGTACCCCCTCAGCTCCTCAGGCAAGCCCATGTGGTAGAACGCGTCGCTGAGGTCGGCACCCTGGATGTAGAGCTCGTCGTTGAGGCCGAGCTCCAACCTCGAATGGGCATCGCCCGTGCACAGGCTCACCCCGGCCGGCTCGGCGAACCAAGCGTTGGCCCTCCGGCAGTCTATCACCATGCGCAGCCTCTGGTCCTTCTTCTCCACGAAGAAGGCCTCGACGGACTCGATGCCAGACTCGGCGAAGTCGACGAGGCCACGCTCCTGCAACATACGAATGAATTCCTCATAAGCACCCCGACGCCGCAAGGCTGGGTCAGAGTACGCCCGCTCCAGCCCCACGCCCTGCAGTCGCTGCTTCGCCCTCTCGGAGCACAGCAAATTCTGTGATATAAAATCCTTCACGGTGTCACTCCCGCCGCTCCCCCACAGAGTCTCCAGCGGACTCGGCCGAACCGTGCCAGAGGGCAGTGAGATCGCGTCGGGGCGGTAGGATCCGAGCTTGGCAGAGTCCACGTCGTACCAGCTCGCCACGCGAAGCTTCCGAAGAGCCTCTGCGGGGGTGAGCCCCGGGGGCGGCGCTCCCAGGGCCCGCGCCGACTCCTCGACGAAGTCGATGGCCTCGCGCTGGGCGCGCGAGACGAAAGCACAGGCTGGCGCGCCCTGGCCAAGAGCCGGCTGAGGCGCATGCGAGAACATCCCGTTGAGGCTGCGCACCGCTCGGTCACAGTCCAGCTCCACAGCAGCACGCGCGCCAACCCGCTGCCGCACCGACCGGCTAACAGCACCTGCCTCTCCGGAGAAAGCGCCGACTGGCCGACGTGGCAGAGGAAAAAGATCGCGAGGAACATGTCGGTCGTCACCCGCGTCAAAACTGCGGCCACCAGCGGGGGGCGGCCTGGGGCTCGGCAGGCGGCTGGGCCCCGCCCCTGAAGGGCCCAGCCGGCGCGAGTCAGGAGTCATTTCTCCTTGGGCCCTTTGCGGAGGGCCTCCCGCTCTTCTCGTGCAACTCTCAGGTTCTTGGCCAGCTTCGCCTCCCGCTCCACCTCGGTGCGGACGTAGTCCAGCAGCTCCGGGCAGATCATGAGCGTCGCCGACGCCCTCGTGGTCCCCGCGAACGCGTGCTGCTCCTCCAACGACATCTTCCCCTGGTAGCTCTTCGACTCCGCCTCCCTCGCCCGCTCCGAGTGGCCGAACTCTATCGTCTGGAGCCGCCGGAACTGGTACTCGACCATGATCAGGTTGCTCCCGTCCAGCTGGTCCACCAGCAGCCCCTGGGTCAGGGCCTGGCATATGTTGAAGTGCTCGAAGACCCCCCACGAGTTCCAGTCGAGACGGCAGGCCGTCTTGAAACGTTCGTGGTGGCCCAGCAGCCCACTCCCCTCCTGGTTGATGAACTCTATGCACCACAAGCTGGAGCGCGGCCCCGGCAGCTGCCAGTCGGCCCCGAAGCTCTCCTGCTTCAGCACGGCCGTCATCTCCGCCCAGGTCCGCTCCCGCCTGTCCTGGCGGTTGCGCCGGATCGGTGTGATCCGCGCATCCGTCGCGACCGCCCGATCGAAGAACTCGGCCTCGTCGGCCGGGTCCACGTGCTCGACGAAGATCCCGACGCCATCCGGGAGTATGTGGATGTCACGCTTGCCGACGGCCAGCCCGCTCCGCGCGTGGTCAGTCACGACGTCGCCGTACCGGAAGGGCCCGGCCGCCATCGCCGCACGCCACTCGGCGACAGGAGCCCCCGCGGCAGCGCCTGGCGCAGCCCCCTGCAGAGGCCCGATGCGAGGAGCCCGCGGCGCAGCCGCAGCCCCGCCCGGCACCGGCAGCGGCCGCAGGAAGACGAGGTTCGCCAGCAGCCCCGGATCGCCCCGAGCGGCGGCGATCCGCTGGCACTCGGCCTGGGCCTCGGCCTGGGCGTCAGCCAGCGCCCGCGCCCGCTCCTGAGCTGTCGGCTGCTGCCTGAAGCGGTACACCCGCTCAGGAGGCACCCCAGCAGGCACCGCGGCCCACGCCCCCGAGAAGCGGACGGCGGCCACATCCACGCTGTCGTCCCCGTAGTCCTCCGCGTAGACGTCGCCGTCCGGGGTCAGGATGACGTAGCTAGAATCCGACAACCCCACGAGCCCCAGGATCAGCCTCTGGTGCCACAAGTGCTCGTCGTCGGCGTACAGGACGAAGGCTCACTCCCTCGCCCTCGGCGCCGCCGCTGCCATCCTCGCCCTTCGTCAGCCGCCTGGCGCAGCTCAGCCCCCCGCGCACCACCGCCTGGCCGAGCACGCCGAGGAGGCACCCCAGCAGCACGCCGAACACCAGCCACCACCCTGGCCCCAGCCCGCCCCAGGCCGGGGCGCCGCCGCGCTCGACCTCCGTCGGCGCGGGGCAGCTCTGGCTCTCCGGCGGGGGCCAGGCCGGCGCTGCCGGCGCGGCGGTCCCGCCCGGGCAGCCCGGGCACGCCGGGCACGGCGGGCACGAGCACGAAGCCAGTGCCGGGCAAGCCGGGCACGCCGCGCAGTGGCAGTCGGGCACCGCGGGGCAGGCGGGGCACCGCGACAGGTAGGCGCCCGCCACGCCGCCCGCCCACTCCAGGACTCGCACGGCGAAGGGCCCAGCCATGCGAGAGGCCCGACGCCCTGCTTTGCTTTGAGCCACCGTGTTGACGGATGAGACCAGAGGCGAACGAGGACCTCAGGACGAGCGGCCTTCACCGAAACGCGTGCCGAGATTTCCGTACAAGTACAACGCATATAAAAAAGAGAGCCAGAGAGAAAAAAAGAGAGCCAGAGAGAGAGAGAGAGAGAGAGAAAAAAAAAAAGAGAGAGTGAGAAAGAGAGAGAGAGAGAGAACAAGGCGCGGGAACGGTGCGGTAGGGGGGAGGGGAGAGGGAAGGAGCGGGAGAGGGAGGAAAGGGCGAGAGGCCAGAACGCCCCCCTCTACCGCCCGCGGCGCCGCGCCGCCTGGGGGGGGAGAAAAACAAAAAGAACACAACAAACAAATCGGCCCGACTCCCTCCCTGGCATATTTTTGTTTGTGCCCCCCCCCAAAAAAAACACTCCTCGTCGTCTGGTCCGTTCGTCCGTTCGTTCGTCGACGGCGGCGCGCTTGCGGTGGCCCTGGCGGCATCTGTTTCAGACTGGTGGCTCCTGTGGAAGAACCTCAGTACGATGCCCTCTCTATTTCTGGGGTGCTGAAGTGATGGGCGAAGCACTACTTGGCATTAGTTGGTTCATGCTTGGAACTGTTTGCCAACGCATGCTCCTGCTTGGCATTGGTTGGTTGCGCTTGGCAATGCATGATTGTGGTTGGCATTGAACGGTCGTGCCCGGTTTTGCTTCGCATTGGTTACTCAGGATTGGCATTGCTCAGCATTGCGCGGTTGTGCGTGGCACGAAATGGTCGAAATTAGCATTGCGTGGCATGACTTGGTCAAGTGCGATATTGGGCAATCGTGCTTGGCATTGCGTGGCATTGGTTGTTTATGCTTGGCGTTGCTTGGTCGTGCAAAGCACTGAGCGATTTTGCTTGACAATGTTTGGCTTGGTTGGTCATGTTTGGCGGCGTTTGGCAATGAGTGGTCCTGCTCTTGCCACTGCCTGGCACTGGTGGGTAATGCTTGGCATTGGATGGTCGTGCGTGGCATTGGGTGATCGTGCTTGGCGTTGCTTGGGGTTGTGTGGTCATGCTTGCGGCACTCGTCCGAGGTGATTGGTATTGGTCGGTCGTGTTTGGCATTGCGTTGTCTAGGTTGGTCGTGCTTGCCCGTGCTTGGCAATGGGTGTTCCTGCTCTTGCCATTCGTCCTGAACATTTACCAAAACAATGTACCACAGAAGCCTTGAAAAGAAATTTGGGCGGAAGAATCGTTGGTAAAGAGTCCTTACACAGGAATCCATGGGAACCCTAGGTCAGGAATTGTCCCTAAGGAATCCTTACTCAAGATTCGCAACTAAAGAGTACGTAAGATGGAATATGTAGTCAGAAATATGCGTTCATAATCTGTATGAAAAAATATGGAGTGTGGAACCTCTGCTACGGAACATTAAGGAATGTGTATGAAGGGATCTGTAATAAGGAACAGTGTTTCAGGAATAGTTCTTAAAGTATCCTTACTAAGGAACCCCTACTTAGGAATCCTTACCCTAGCATCCGTAGTACGGAATGTTCACCAAGGAACCCATGCGATGGAATCATGAATAAGGAGTCCGTAATAAAGAATGTGTAGTATATAATCAGTGTTCAAGAAAATATGCAAATGAATCGTTAGTACGCAATGCGTTTGGACAAATTCACAATAAACAATATGCATGAAGTACTCAGGGGAAACACAAAACCGTCCTAAACAATCTTCATTGAGGAATGTTCATGAAGGAGTCCGTGGTAAGGAATATGTAGTGGGGAATATTTACGAAGGAACCTGTATTCAGGAAACTGTATGAAGGAATCCTATCTCAAGAACCCCTACTAATATATCTGTAGTGATGAAGTTGTAGTATGCAAATTTGATGAAGGAATCATCAGTGAGGAATCGTTTTTTTATAGGTTTTTTTGTTAAAAAAAAAAATGGATTAACGAATCCTGATAAAGGATTATGTATCAAGAATCTCGGTTCAGGAACATCTACTAATTATTCACTATAAAGGAAGATTTGCAAAGAAAATCTGTATTACGGGAATATTGCTAAGGGATGTTTACTCAGAAATCCTTGCTAGGAAATCCCGACTAAGGAATATGTATCAAAGAGTCCTTGGAGACGGGGAAGCCGCGCGCAGGCCCTGCCGACCCTGGCGGGGAAGGCGGAAGCCGCGCGCAGGCCCTGCCGACCCCCACAATCCCAACGAGCTCCAATCGCTATCAGGATGCTGCCAAAAATGTGCTCGGCGCCTGGGCGAGCAAATCATGTTTCAAAACAGTATGCGCGGCGCGGATGCGAGTGTGCAATATGTTGCCGAAGCACGGACCCCAGACCGCCACTCCAGAATCCCCCGCCCTCGAGAACGCTGCTCCGCCAACTTCGGCACACCTCTTCTAGAAAAGCAACAAATTGAGTGAACAGAACAAGTCGGAGGTTCGCGTGGATCTCCCTGATCGGCGCTGGATTCCCCTCCGTAGCGTGCAAAGGGCGCTGGGGGCCGCGCCAGAGGCGCTGGCGGGGGGGGGGCGGGGGGCCCAACGCAGATCTAAAAAATCCGCGCGGCGCTTCGAAAGCGAAGTTTATGCATTATGTTTTTTCTCCTCGATTCTCCTTTCTAACAAAAAAATAGATTCCCCCCCCCGCGTTATCGGTACCCCTTCCGGGTATGTAGATCAGATGCGATTCTGACCGCATGTCCATCTTAAATATGAATATACACTATCCCAAGGGGGCCGGTATCCCCCCCTGAGGTTCCCCTGTAGAAAAACACTCTGCGGTGACAGTTTCGCTCTAACATAGCATTTGTTCACGAATCCCTTGCAAAAAGCACTGACGAAGTACACACGCGCGCGTCGTCACGCGCGCATGCAGCAATCCTTCAAAAAGCTTCGGTGCCGGAAGGATTTCGCAATCGAGTTCCCCAAAAAAAATACAAAACACACAGGGTATCGCAACTCTGATGTGCTAAAAAAGCTTCCGCGCGAGCTCTTGCGAAATCTTACGAAAACCATAGGTTTTTCAATATTTACACAAAATACGATTAAACGGGCTTCGCGCGCGAGCATGTCGAAATCTGTGGAACGCCCTTGCGCGTGTGCCGTCGCGAGAACCCTCTGCAAAAAAAGGGACGAAGTGCAGACGCGCGCGTCGTCGCGCGCGTATGCCGAAAACCTTCAAACCCATCGGTTTCGGAAGGATGTCAAAATCGTGTCCAAAAAACCTACAAAATCCCAAGGTTTCGCAACACGGATTTTCAACAAAAGCGTGCGCGCGCGCGCTCTTGCGTCGTCGTCGTCGTCGTCGCCGTCCTCCCTCCTCCCGCGTCGTCGTCGTCGTCTACGTCGTCCTCTGTCCTTCCTCGTGTTCGTCGTCGTCGTCCTCTTTGGCGTCGTGGTCGTTTCCGTCGTCGTTGTCGCCGTGGTCGTCCTTCCTCCTCCTCCCTCGTCGTCGTCGTCCGTCGTCGTTGTTTCGTCGTCGTCCCTCCTATTTCGTCGCCGTCGTAGTCGTCGTCGTTGTCGTCGTCGTCGTCTTCCCTCCTCCCTCGTCGTTGTCGTCGTCGGCGTCGCCGTCCTTCCTCCTTCTTCGTCGGTTGCGTCGTCGCCGTCCTCCCTCCTCCCTCGTCGTCGTCGTCGCTGTCGTCGTTGTCGCCGTCGTCGTCCTTCCTTCTCCCTCGTCGTCGTCTTTGTTGGCGTCGTCGTCGTCGTCGTCTTCGTCGTCGTCGGCGTCGTTGTCGTCGTCGAAGTCGTCGGAGACGTCGTCGGTGTCGTCGTAGTCGTTGTCGTCGGTGTCGTCGCAGTCGGTCTCAAGAGGTTTTGCAAACCAAGTTGCGGGTGGGTGGGTGGGATGTTTGCGCGAGCAGTGGAGATGACGACTTCAAGTTCAGCAGAGTGGATCCTCACCCATAGGATAGCACAGGGCAGGGTAGATAATCGGCTCACGCAGCTGGTTTCCTGGCGACTCCTGGCGCCGGGAGGCGCCCATGTACCGAGAAATGGGCCCGGCGGGGGGGTGAAGCCTGCTGCACGCAGAAGATGTCGCAACCTCCCCCTTCTAGAAAAGTACAAAACGCCACAAAGATAAACTTTGGGCGATCTGCGCGGATCTCTTTGATCTGCGCTGGGCCCCCCCCCTCCCTGGCGCGCGGAGCGCCGCCAGGGGCGGCCCCGGAGGCGCCGCCGGGGGGGCCCCAGCGCGGGGCCAAGACATCCGCGCGGAGCGCCAACGTGTATGTTTATGGCGTTTTGTCTTTTTCGAGTGACCTCCCCTGTCCCTAACCCTGCCCTTGCGTGCGGCCCGGCTCCTCCTCCTCCTCCTCCTCCTCCTCCTCCTCCTCCTCCTCCTCCTCCTCCCCATCCTGCCCTTTCCTGCGGCCCGCTGCCTCCCAGGCCTTCGAGCCGAACCTGCCCTGTATCTGCCGGTGTGCGGCGGCCAGCACGGGGGTGAACTGCCGGCAGGGCGGGCACCACGAGGCCGAAAAGTAGATACCGACGGAGGGGCGCAGGGAGGGGAGGAGGAAAGGGAGGGGAGGGAGGAGGAGGAGGAGGAGGAGGAGGAGGCAGGGCCTCTGCCGCAGAGGCGGAGGCGGAGGCTGAGAAGGAGGAGGAGGAGGAGGAGAGGGAAGGAGGAGGAGGAGGAGGAGGAGGAGGAGGAGGAGAGGAGGAGGACGAGGACGAGGAGGAGGAGGAGGATAAAGTCGGCAGAGGGCACCTTCGGGAATCTACGAGAGCCACCGGGCCCGGAGGACGCGTCGGCCGCCGCGGCCGCGTCAGAGCGCCCCGACGGGAGGGGAGGGAGGGAAGGGAGCCATGACAAGGCGAAAACCCACCCCCACCCCCAGTCCCGACGCCCAGCCCCGAGCCCGCGATCTGGGGGGTCGGGACTGGGGGTGGGGGTGGGTGTTCTCCATTCCTGGGCCCTGAAAACCCACCCCCACCCCCAGTCCCGGCCCCCCCGATCGAGGGTTCGGGAATGGGGTCGGGACTGGG